GTGAGAATGCTGGACAGCCTCCTGCAAGGGCAAGAGTGTAAGATATTGGAATTTTGTGCCCAATGATCATGGTCGCCTTGCTGACAATGCCCCAAGCTAGAATCTGACCAGTTGTCCCTCAGCAAATGGAGAGCTGAACTGTGGTCCGTGCAGGCCACGGAGGTGGCCAAGCAATGGAGAAAGAGCCAACTATTGACACAACTGGAGAGTCTCAGAGGAGTTCTGCTGGCTGAACAAAGCCAATTTGAAAGTCAATGCGTGTTTACAGTTCTCGAGCCAACAAAGTGATGGACATGAAAGAGGTCAGTGGTTGGAGGAGGCTCCAGAGAGAAAGGGGTGCAGCAGCCACCAAGGCCAGCAGGAGGGACCCACAGATGGGCTGTCCTGTCATCTCTGTGGCGGAAACGGGAACCTGCATGTGTGACAAAGTCTGTGGAGTCCATATGTTCTGCGTGCGATGCACAGCAAGGTGGTGAGGGCCGAGAATAGTGCCTTGGCTCTCACACTGTGCTACGTGCTTGCACGGTGGGGCTCACCCAGATTCCGAGGTTCTGGCTCTTCCTAACATCGAGATCTGGGTCCACAACTGCCAGGCGGCAGGGGAGGGTTGTGGTGCCGGAATAATAGTGGAGCTGGCATAAGACAGCTTCAAGTCCTCCAGGGGAGATGATGTTCTACCATGGGGACACCTGATATCTGAGAGCCCAAGGAGTGGGCCAGATGTCCCTTCCCAAGCGGTGTTTATTTTACATGACATCAGTAAGAACATCTCATTGGTGAAGGCTTGGCACAGGTCTGGAGCTGGGCTTTAAGTGTTTGCAGCTTGGCAAACCCATAATGCCCTGCAGTCTCAGGAGGTCGAAGGAGCTGCTGCTGGTGACTTTTCCCTGGGCTGGGGAACCTCAATCTTTCCTGAAGGAGAGATAAGTTTTGCCCTCCAGTGTTCAGTTCCAGAACTTAACTTCAAGTTGAGGAGATTTCTGGTAGTTTCATGCCAAGGGTAAGTTGTATGGACAGCCATGGGGGGGGGGGGTGGTAGAGGATCTCCAAACAGCTGTCTGTGGGAGGCAGTGGCCGGCCACTCAAGCTACAGTGACGAGTGATGAGTTAACACCCATCTTCTCTGAACCTGAAGAAGGACGCTTAAAAGGAAATCCCGCACTAGCTCAGAAGTGAGAATAATAGAGGGCTATTTATTTAGGGGTCGATTCAGAGATCACAATCCTCAACTGGAACGGAGAACAACGAGCGTAATCTGCAGCCAGAAAAGAGGCCGGATGAGCACTTTATATTGGCATAAATAGAATAAGAGGCCACGCCCCACGGGTAACTTAAAAGCTACTGGCAGTTTAAATTCTTTCAGCATGGACCCTTCTCCCTCAGCTTACATGTCTATTTGTTCTGAGATAAAGTCTTACAATATAACTCAGGCTTGGGGTAACTCACTGTCCTCCTGCCTCAGCCTCCTGAGTGCTGGGATACAAGCCTATACTGGATTTCTTTGCATGATCAGAGCTGAGTTGAAAGTGTCCATCAAGTTGTCTTAGTCCCTGCTCTATAATAGAAACCATGACCAAGGCAGCTTCAAAAAGAAAGCCTATATTTGGGAGCTAGATGTGGGAATCCCCTCTGCGTGCTGTGATTACCATTAATGAATAAAGAACTGCTTTGAGCCTATAGCAGAGCAGGGCAGAATGGAAGTAGGCAGGGAAAACTAAACAGCATGCTGGGGAAAGGAGGCAGAATCAGAGAGAAGCCACATAGCCCCCCTGGAGCCAGATGGAACTTTATCCAGTAAGCCACAGCCACGTGGCAATACACAGATTGCTAGAAATGGGTTAAATTAAAATATAAGAGTTAGCCAATAAGAAACTAGAGCTAATCGGCCAAGTAGTGATTTAAGTAATATGGTTTCTGTGTGATTATTTCGGAGTTGAGAAGCTGGGAACCAACAAGCAGCTCCCCACAGCAGGAGCTTGCTTAGTCCATGATCATTGTGACTGGGAGGGTGGCAGCATGCATGCAACCATGCATGGCACTGTAGCAGTAGCTGAGAGCTCACATTTGATTCACAAGTTGCAGGCAGTGGGGGTGGGGGCAACTCTGTCATGGGTTTTGAAACCTCAAAGCCCACTGTCAGTGACATATCTCCAACAATGCCACACCTATTGCAATACGGTCATACCTCCCAATCCTTCCCAAACAGTTCCACTAACTGGGATCAGCCATTCAATTATATGAACCTGTTGGGGAGCGTTTCACACTGAAGCCACCACACAAGTGAAGCTCTGAGGCCTAGCCCCAGAGTCTGAGACTGTCCAGCAAAGCACAGGAAACCACAGCTCTCTGGCCCTGCCACCTGGACTCCACAGGTACCAGTGACTCATCAGGGAAGAAGATTCACTGGTCCCTGTGAACACCGTTTGCTGACTGACAGCTGGCCTCTTCTCTGTGATAGACAAATTCTTCACTGCCTGTGTCCTCAGCAGAAATTGCTATGTGAAGTCATGATCATGGGAGCAGGTATTGCTTTTCCACATGAGCCTTACTCTAGAGACTGAGAACTGAGACCTCTGGGTACCACTTCCAGTGCAGAGGCAGCTGCCCTGCAGGCATCAATGAGACGATGTCCCTGGACCACAGACCACACTCCTATTCAGTGATATGGCTGTTACCCTCACTGTCTGTGATATCCCTCTTATCCTAGACTGCATTTGAACTCCTGCCCTGATGCTGTCCCAGGATCAGGGTCCTCTGGCCTGGGCAGCCACTCAGTCACGGCCTCACTAGCACTGAGAGTGCTTGGGGGGCTTCACGGGCATTGAGAAGCCCTGTGGATAGGTGGATGATGTATGTAGTCAGGCTGTTACTGCCATACTTGGGGGTCAGAGATGGATAGATCACTGTGGTCTACCTCTTTCTAGTAGGGACCTTCTCTCAGTGAGGATGGGACAGGGTGGCACCTTCCTCTCCTCTCCTCTGACTCTTGCTTTCTCAGGGTCTGGGGGCCTTGTCAGGTTGGATTTGAACTAAGGGGTAGGATATTTATGGGTGGGGCAAAATTGGACTGGACCTCATGCAGAATGCCATCTGCTCCATGCTTCCTTCCTGGAAACCAAGTGGACACTAGGGCTGTGTTGAATCCCAGTCTCCAGGATTAGGACAGTTTTGTCAGAAACAGGACTGTGCTGGGAGAGATGGCCCAGCCTTGGGTCTAATCTTACCTGAAGAAGCCCCAGCATGGGGCCAAAATGGGGTTCCTGCAGGAGGAATGGGGGGCCAGGGACCTGGATTGTCCTCCCAGAGTTGCCCAGCAAGTCCTGAGTTGCTTCCAGGACACACTGCAAGGCACCTGGGAACAGCTCTCGGCCTAGCACACTGTATGTGTGTGTCGGGGTGGAGGGTGGATGGTCCCTGAACTACAGCAGGGCCTATGCTAGATAGTCAGGGTGCCACAGTGGCCACAGACCCCTCCAAAGCCCCCCTCGTAGCCATTCCTTGACCTAGTCCTCTCAACAAATGAGAAGGCGTGCCCATCCAGGGGAAAACTGGTCCTTTCCTACAGTTCTCTTCACACCCAAGGCAACCTTCTGTGTGGTTCTACCCTCCCTATCTGTCTGCCAAGCATTTGCCCGCCAAGGCCAGGCATCCCGGAAAGCTCTGGATGCTCCATCTGTGGCAGAACCACGCCCATGGCCCAGGTCACTCTGACAGAGTTCTTTTATGGGGCCCCCCTCACAACACTACCCTCCCTGCTTGAAGCTGCTACCCAGTCAGCCCTGGACAAGTCATTTCAGGTCACCGCTCTGAGTGGGGGAGGCTTATTCCATCCCCTGCTGACCTATTATCTGCTACTCAGATCTCATCCATGGGTCTCTGGGAACTCCACGGAGACTCCCCACCCCGCCCCACCCCTAACCCTTAATTGTCAGCAGACGCCAGGCCTATGATCTGGTTCAGATCCCAAGTCATGCATCCCCTGTGAGCAAAGGGAATCAGCACAGACCCTTGCAGGTTCCACAGGCTGGCAAACGCTCCAGCCGCACTGATCACATTAAATGACTGAGAACATCAGATCTGGACTTTATGGCTGGGAAACGGAGCACAAGCTGCAGCCAGTTAATATCACCACGGGATAGCAAAACCCCATGGGGCCCTTGCTGTCTCAATTGGTTCCGTTTCCCAGGAGGAAAAGCTAAGGGTGGAGAGGTCAGATGACTAGCTTTGTAGTACTGACTGTAGCACTGAATGGCAGAGCCCAGGGACCCCACCCCTTCCCCAGCTCACCTCCACATCACTCGCACCCACCTGCTTCTTTTCAAATGTTATCCTTAAAGCAGTATTAATTTTTTTCTGCTAGGGGAAAAGAATACATATATATATATATATATAAAGAGAATTTCTGACATCAGAATTCCTCCTGGGAAAACATCATGTTGTCAATATTTTTTAAATTCTTGTGCACGTATGATCTCTGTGCATGTGTACTTGTAAATATGTGGAGGTCAGAAGGCAACCTTAGATATTGGTCCTGGCCTTCCACGTTGACACAGGGACTCCTGTTCGCTATTGAGTACTCCTGGCTTGCTGGCTCAAGAGCCGCTTTGCTCACTGAGCCACCTCCCAGTCCCTGGCTGTCATTTTTATCAAGTGGAAAAGAGAGGGACTTCTGTACGTCCATGCACAGAATGGACATTGTACGTCCATGTACGTCTGTCCTTCAGACAGCCGTGAAGGCAACCAGCGGCCGTAATATTTCTTCCTGATCATCTCTTGCTTTCTTTAGTCCCACAGCGTCATTCCAACTTGAACTTCCAGTGACCCTCCATGGACTTTCTTCCCTCGGGGGCTATCTCATGACCCCTGAGGTAGGGACATCACTATAGAGCCACCAGGGTTTGCCTCTGTTGGAAACCCCAAGTGACTGGGCTAGCATAGCTCGGATGTCAGCCAAGCAGCTCGACATTGTCAAACACACAGGCATCAGTTCAACTACTCACAAGGCTGGAGACTTCAGATTCTCCATTGGAGGAGGGCAGGGGGTTTTGTTTATCCTTCCGAGGCTGGACAGGCCTGAGGCTTCTCATCCTCCCTTCCTGTCCCTGCCTCTGGCCTGGACCTGACCACATGCTCAGGCCAAGCTTATGACATTGACACATGGCTTGTGAGGTCACATAGGCCACTCAGCTGTTTTCTTCACTTGAATTCAGTTTTATTCTCTCTCATATTCCACCTGTGATTGGTCCTTCACGCTGTGGGGAATCCGTATTGTGCCTGTAGTTAGACAGACAGGCTGTTCTCTAAATCTCGCTGTCTTTCTAGGCAGTGGAGTGTGCTCCTGGCTGCTCCTGGAAACACAAGGCACTGAAAACAGCTCCAGTGTGAATCCAACACTAGAGTAAGAAGAGCTGAGAATAAAGACTAGTGAGCAAGACGCACCCTTGGCACACTTAGTTGAAGCACCATGGTTGTCATTTTTCACCAGGCTATTTGATGCCGCTAGGAACACTGATTGGGGAGAAGGTAAATGACTGTCTACCTCTCCCATGAGATGCTGTGACAAGGGATGACAAGAGAACACTCAGTTCCCTGGACTGGCTCAGGCTTCGCACCCACATCTCATACCCTGTACCAGGGTCCCTACACTGGGAATACTCTCGCCTCACTGAGGTCAGGTGTGCTGGCCCTCCGAGGAGCAGCTCCTCCCAGACTGATGCTGTGTGATTGTCCCTCCATGGCAGTTAGCGCTGTGTCAGGAGAGGTTCCCACATCAGAGCCTCTGCTTCCTCAGACCAGAACCCCTCAGCCAAGAAAGGCACCTCCCTCCCAGTGAAACGCCAACTTCAGCCACTCAGGAAAACAAACTCTGTCCCCTTTCCCATAGCTCTATTCACGGTGGATGCAAACTCCACCCTCTCTCTTTTTCCTGACTGGTAACACATCACAAATGGTCTTCGCTTTGCTTTGTAATCTCCAGGGTTATCTGGAAGGCGAAGTAGGACTCCTAGCCCTGGGTGTGGTGTGCCTGAACCGCTGAGCATTCCCCCGCTAACCAGCGGCATCCAGTTTACTTTATGAGTTGCATAATTCTGCAATAAACCTCTTCGTGCATAGGCCTTTGTTCATTTTGGGAATTTTCTTTTAAAGTGATTTCCCAGAAATATCACCACGAGGTCAAACGGAACAAACAATTTCACGATTTCCTATTATGTTCTGCCAAACGTCTTTCCAGATAGCTGGGCTCCTTCTGTGGTGCCTGGGAGCGTGGGTAAGGGCAGGTGGGACATTGGCTCCCTCCTTCATGCTAGACTGGATAGGATGGTGGTCCCTGACTGAGGTTATCTGGTGCTCTCCCGGGAGGTGAAGATCAAGGGCTATTGAGCACCCTGGAGGTGGTGCTGACTCAGACAGAGGAGTCGAAGGATAACATGGCACCTAGTCAAGCCTACTCAGCCTCTGGCTGATGGGCCAGGTCAATGAAGGCACTGACAGAGATGCACACTGGAGAATCATGCAGAACCAGGGTCCTGTCTGGCACTGAGGGACCCGATTTTATCAAAACACCCTAGAGTGAACTACTAGTTAGTGCCATGCTTTTACCCACAGTTCCTGAGATCAGTGTGGCATCGTGTTGGTGCCACCACCCACAAGGTGGACTTTCAGAAAGGCCCCTGATGAGTATCTATATAAACAGGGAATTAACATTCATAACACCCAGATTAGATCAGGGATCAAAACTCATACTGATGTGAAATGGAGAAGCAAATAACGGAGAGGAGGGCCTCTGCCTCACAGCAGAGGAAGGGCTTATAAGCGAGAAGACACAGCCAGGCGGTGGTGGCGCACACCTTTAATTCCAGCACTTGGGAGGCAGAAAGGAGACCTCTGTGAGTTCAAGACCAGCCTGGTCTACAGACAGCCAAGGCTACACAGAGATACCCTGTCTTTAAAAAGGTAATAATAATTATATAATTATAATGATGATGATGAGGAGGAGGAAGAGAAAGAAGAAGAAGGAGGAGGAGGAAGAAATGAGAAAATGAGAAGCCACAAAACTTGAGACCACTCCCCTGCAGCCATGGAAATGATCCTGAGGTGATGACTGAGTGTTGGAGAAGAAAGGGGAACTTCTCATTCTGGCCACACAAGTGCGAGCTGGGAACAAGGTATGACCTGGTGAGGACAGTAGGTGAGTCACTGAGAAACTAGATGGTGGACACAACTGCTTCATGTATCCTGTGAATTGCCACCCACATCATGGACCCGGCCCTGCAAATAACCACTGGCTGCGTGGAAATAGCCCTGAGTACACTGCCCACCAGACCCATCCTTTACCTCTTACAGATGACCCCGTAACCTTCACTGCAGCCACATTCAGAGCTGACAAGGCTGTGGTATAGGCTTCAGCAGCAGCATAACAATGCAGGGGTTACCCAGCTATGAAGGGAAATACTGGGGCCCTTAGGAAACGTGAGTGTTACCTGTAGATGTAATATCAGTGTTTACTGTCATAGTAAGAATATTCTTCCAGAGTACACACAAATGCTCAAGCAAAGGACATGGCCTCTGAAAGTTACTCCCAAACAGCTTACAAGAAAATATATATTCAATGCATATTGAAGTATATGTGAGGTACATGTTATATACATTTATTGCATATAATTTTTATCAATAACATCTGTTACTCATTTATCAATGTTACCTATAATATATTCAATGTATAACATATCTACCATCTACCCATCTATCATCTATCTTATCTATCTAATATATCTATTTATCATCTAACATCTATCATCTATCTATCATATCTATCTATCTACCTACCTACCTACCTATCATCTATTTATATTCCTACTTACATACCTTCCATCTATCTAACCATTCCCCTATCATCTATCATGACAAATCCAATAGGGCAAGATGTCCACCAGTATTTGATTGTGGTCCTGTGGAGGGAGCAGATTCTTTGAGAGGCGGAACCTAGGAAGAGGTCATTGTGGCAATGTCTTTAGACAGGACCAACCAAGGACCCCAGTCAGTTTCTATGAAAGAAGGCCATTAGAAAATAGCAAGATGGCTCCTGTCTGTTCTCTGGCTCCCTGTCTTGCCATGTGACCTCTCTCACAAAGGTTCCCACTTGTGATGCCATCTATCATGCCATGACCCAGCCAAGGGGCCTCATTCATGGCAAATAAATAAATAAACAATTAGGTCCCAGTCTCAGATTTTCAGCCTTCAGAACTGTTAGCCAGCTAAAACTCTCTTCTGTCTAAGTACCTGGCCCCAGGTATCTCGTCATGGCTGTGGAGCTAAGCAGGAGATTAGCACCATGTTTATCGGTGATTGGGCATTCAGGAAAGTAGTGCTGTGACAGTTTCACATTGAGGACAGTCCTTAAACTTAGGCATTTATATCCAGCTAAACTGACATTTATGGGCAAGGTCAAAAGGAAGGTATTTTTTGGACGTGTCAGTCTCGGAAAGTTTGTCACAGAAAATCTCTTTTGAAGGAAAAGTAGTTGATTGAATAATTTATTAGAACAAAGTCTAAAGCAAAACAGTGTGTACAATAATTTTGTGTCAAGTTCTAAGTGATTTCCTCATGCTGTGGGAAAGGTTTGGACGGAAAGAGAATAGAGGGGAAATGCCAATGGCCTTGGTGACCTGCCTTGTTCAGAGGGCAACAAAGGATGATGGGAAGCCCAGGAAAAGGGTCGGGAGAAAATGCATAAATATGAATCCAAGGAGTGATCACCAAGAGAGCGATGGTATAAGTCAATGTGTTAAAACTGCAGAAAAAAAAATCTATTCAGTAGATGTTAGGAAAAACAAAAGTATATCGAATACAGAAATAAAGTTCATGAAATAATATAGTTGAAATAGTTAGGAGTATAGAAGAAAACATAATAACTGTGACTGTGCTATGCTAATCATTCATCAAGAGATGAAACTCTCAGAATACATACATTTAAAGATAGTCTAAGTTATTATCTATCCAATACAGAAAAGAAAGAATAGAATGGAAATGTGCAACAGCAAAAATCTTAATATAGTGCGGAAAGGATGCAAGGAGGGCAGAGCTTTGAACACACAAGGAAAGGTCTCTGCCAGAGGGTGGAGGGGCATTAAGGAATCTATCAGAGAGACACTGGACCCTCCAATTTGTCATGAGCAGCACGGCCGATGTGGAGCCAGGAGTCTTGCGGCAGATGAACCCAGTGACTCCGCTAGAACAGTCAAACCTGAGGGCGTGAAGCTCTGTGTCCACTCAGGGCGCAAGAGCGTCACTCATGTCAGAAGGACTGTGGTAAGTGACGCACAGACAGATGAGAGCTCACACATCAATAGATTCCAGCGGCATCGTCGGAAAATACTAGAAGCCAAAACATGGGCTAAGGAAAATGGGTAGGATGAACCTGGGAGAGGACATGAGTAAAGGCAGGGACTCAAGGCGAGCCATGTTAGATGAAAGGAAGAGCGACAAACCTGGCCCTGCCTCCCAGGAGAACCAGCGCTCTTGCATCCTTGGAAGCTCAATCTGGACAACGACAGCTGTGCACATGAATGCCTGGATGCTGGATACTATCTTTAAGTATGTTTGGAGTCACGTGTATACTCCCCGCTTTCCACGCACCAGGAAACTCTGCAGCGGGTTCATTCCTCCCCAGCACTGGGATCCCTTTGCAAGCCATCAGCTTTATTATGCCAGAAATAGTTGTTGTACAATATTACAAGCGTTTTAAAAGTTGGCTTGCTTTGACTCATATGCACCCGATAAATAAAGCTAACTCCATTCTTGGTGACAAACTGAGTTAATTTGTTAGGTAAATAATTGAACAAGTATTTCATACGCAGTCGCCCAATGCTCCCATTCTGTGGCAGCCACATCCTGTCTGGGGACCCTGGGAAAGAGGGTGGGGATCTGATCTGCATGGTTATTGGGTTGCATTTGGGGTATCCAGAAGTAAGGACAAAGGGAAGCAAATAGACCCTCATCAGCTGGATACTGAAGGGGTATGCTGTCAGTACAAAGCCAGTAGGCAGCCTCTGGAGAGGGTCTCTCATGGGACCAGCACCATTCCCTAGTTCTTTAGACCGGAA